TATTGCAATCGAGCAACAATTTAAGTTTTTTTTTTAAAAAAAAAGAGATAACTTTGTAATATCGCAAACTAAGTCATAATTAGCTAATAAAAAAATTATTACGAACCTACCTAAACTGGTGAAATAAACACTGTAATACATACTCAGATGAACACTAACACAAAGTCAGACTAAAATCAGCATCAGATATAATAACGTGAATTTTGAACTAAGAACCTTCAATTTTTAGCATTAATTTTTTTTTATTAATTAGGGCCTTGTTTGGATTGTCATTTTTTTGGTTTGCAAAAAAAAAAAAAATTTTACATTTTTTGTGAACGCATTTTTCAATCATCATTTTATTTCATATGCATTAAATTGCAATTAATGATTATTAATTAGGTCACAAATTCGTCTTATTATATTTTTTTGAGAATAAAATAAGAAACTAAAAGCGCTTCTCAGTCAGGATGTTTGCGGAATGGCAATACCTCGTCTAGTTAATATGTAACGGCCCCTCTATTGTACCAAAAAAAAAAAAACTTGGAATGGAAAAGGAAAATTTCAAAAGAATTGAAAGGTTAAAAAAATGGTATTTTAGGGAAGTGGTTTGAATGTTTTGTGATTATTTGAGGAGAACATAGATCTCTACAATTTCTTTTTTTCACTTTCAATCACTAAGATGAAATTTCTGAGAAAGAGGAAAAATCAAAGGAAGAAGAAAGAAACAAAGAAAATAAAGGAGGGAAAATGGGGAAAGGAAAAGAGAGAGAGAGAGAGAGAGAGAGAGAGAAATAAGAATTTAGAATAATAGAGAAATAATTATGTACCATAGAGGATACAATGAGACAAAAAACTGGATTATTGGATAATTGATAAATGGGGTGGGATTAATTGTGATTAACCCTATTAAGAAATTACCTTTTTTTTTTTGGGATGAAAAAATCACTCTGGTTAACGGGTCAACGGTCAAATCCGCAAACCCCTAGGACCACCCCCAAGCAAAATCCGCACTCTGCCATATTTGGTGAGTTCTTCGAGCCTGCTCTCTTCTTCTCCTTTATAAACCCCTATCGTCCCTTCCTCTCTCCTCCCCTTTCTTCCCTTTTCTCTCATTAAACAACCAACTAATTTTCAAAAAAGAAAACCACAGCCAAAAATTTCCCTTCCCCAGAAATGGAGATTAATGTGAAGCATCCGGCTTATGGATTCGATCAGTCCGACGGGTTCGACTCCATACCCGACCCGATTGTCCTCCACATCTTCAGCAAAATCTCCGACATCAAAACCCTAATCCGTTGCCGCTCCGTTTCCAAAAGGTTCAATTCGCTGGTTCCTCAAGCCGACTCGCTCCTCCTCCGAGTTGACCGAGTCATCTCTACGACCGATTCCGATGACGACGATGGCGACTCCTTCTTCATCGCCTTCCTACGTTCCATCGTTAAATCCCTCCATAATTTCATTTCCCCAAACAAGCATACCCATTTTGGCAGCCCGACCAGGACTCAGAACTCTCCCACCCAGATCCTCCGGGGGTTCGAGAACATCCGGAGTCTCCAAATCGAGCTCCCCTCCGGCGACCTGAGGTTGGAAATAGGCACCACGATTAAATGGAAAGCGCATTTCGGGAAGACCCTGAAGAGCTGCGTGATTCTGGGGTTTCGCGGCGGATCTGAGGCAGATTTTAGCGGCGGAGGGTTGAAAATGCGGGTGGTTTGGACGATCAGTGCGTTAATCGCGGCCTCGGCCAGGCATTATATGATGCTCGATGTGATTAGAGAGCAGACGGATTTGTCTAATTTGGTTGTCAAAGATAAGGACAACGAAGGAATGGTTGTTATGGATAAGGGCGGATTGAAAGAGTGCAGAGAGCGGGGAGGAGAGGAAGAAGAGATGAACAATAACAACAACAGTAACAACAATCGGAGGGCAGGGGTTTGGTGGAAAAGTAATCGGACAACTGTGCCTGCAGTTAGGATGAGGATGAGGCACGAGGCACGGATGGAGCTATCAAATGGGGTGAAATTGGAAGGGGCGACGTTGGTTGTTGTGAGGCCCATAAATGCTAGTGGATGTGGTGGTCGCGGAGGAGGGAGTGAGGCGGAGGAGCAGAGCGGGGATGTGGGATTGGCGATGGGGGCGTTCGGAGGCGATGGAGTTTATGGGGAGGCTATTGAGAGGTTGCTCAAATGCAGGAGTTATATTCTTGAAATGAACTCCTTTTGAGTAAGCAACTGTATGATAGAGATATCAGTGAGTTATATTCTTTAGATGAACTCTCTTTGATTAAGGAAGTGTATGATAGAGATGTCTGTGAGATGTGTTTTGTTTCCGACTCTTTGATAGCTAGGCGCCTTTTGTATGGTTAATGATGACCTAGAACTGTCCTTGTGATTTGTATATATCCTAGTTTTTTTGTTAATGGGATTGTACGAGTTTTGATGCTTGTTTGTCTGTCGAAAATCTGATGTACTTTCCGTGTTCTTGCAGCAGATTAACCATTATGCTGTTTTTTGTGATTACCTCTTTCAATGGCTTCCAAACTTGAGAAAAGGCCATAACATAAATTTGATGTTCGAGGAATTTCAGGTGACCCTCTGTGTTTGTTTGCTGTTTCTGGCTCGCCGAGCTTTTGCATTCTCGTTCCTTCCAGTTTGGGATTATATTATAGTGACTGCATCTATGCTGATGAAGCCACCATGAAAATGAAAACAGAGTTGTTGGTTTTGTGATCGTTTACTTAATTTTTTTCTTGGTGATTTTGTTGGGATTTTTTCCTTTATTATTGCACAGGAGGAGTTTTTGTTTGTGTTTCGATAGTCTTATGTCGGTAAGAGTTGATAGCTGCGAGCAAATGAACCTTTACATTTTAAGAACCAGCGATGCAATGAACCCCTTGTTATTTGTCTGGGAAAATATACGCGACAATAGAAAGGAGTAATGCAATGTTTGCAGTTGTGTTGGTAAATCACTAGCCATCTAGTGTTCCGTTGTCCATTAGTTGCCCAGAATTCAACACAAATTCAGCAACTTCACCTGTCAAAGCACCATGTTCAGTCTCTGCAGTCACTACCACATCGGCATCGCCTTCCTATAGTTTACAAAATGGGGAGGGCTGGGTTGGGTAGGTGGTGCAGGGAGAGAGTGTAAATTTAGAGGTCTGAGTTCGACATTTATTTTCTATTTACACAAAGAAAAGTCTCTCTCTCTCTCTCTCTCTCTATATATATATATATATACATGTATATAGTTTAGAAAAGAAACGACTGAATCTGTAAAAGCAGGCCACGGGGTAGATTCGAGATGACACTTGGGGGGGGGGGCATAAACAAACAGATTTCTTCTATTGAAGGAAGGTTCCGCATTTCTACTACAAAAAAAAAAAAAAAAAGAGGAGGAAGGTTCAGCAACCTTTAATGAAAGAAAATGGCAACGTCCACCTGAGATTGCGGGAAGGATAAAGGCATTCAATTATAACTTAAGCTGCTCATCGTAGGAGTAAAACAGAAGAAAACCGTGATACATCATTACTGATGATTATGTTCCCCTGTACGAGAATAGCAATCGATCATGACTCCTGAACGGGAAAGAATTTTCAAAGAGCTGGTCCCCAGAAGAATCTGATCCCTCAAAATCCAACATATTGTTTGATTGGCAATAATATTTGCTAAAACAAAAATTTAATTAGATATTTTACATGCCTGAAACATAAATCCATGGGGGCAAAAAGAGTTGCATTAAAATTCGTGACTTGGATCTCCATCTCTGCGGCAATGAAGTGAAAAACTGGGGTCAGCAGAATCAGTGCCTTCTCTGTGTATGCAGTTGTACGAACCATCATGTTTCTTTCCTATTCAATTATAGACATTAGAACAGCGCAGGGTCGGAGCAATGCTGAAGCCAATATGCAACGGAAACTAATCTATCCTCAAAACTCAAGTACCGAAAAAAGCTTAAAAGTACGAATTGACCATAACCGTACGTGTATCGGTGAATACAGATGGACTGCACATAAAGCCATTTGCTTTTCCCCCCTCCCAAAAACATCGTGGCAGCCTGCCTAGGTGCTTCCACTGGGATGTGCTATGTTTCGGACTCCGATAGACAGATCTTTGAAGTGGTTATTGATGACTTGGAGCAGTTGTAATTCGTATTATATATTTCAGTTTTAATTTTTGCTTTGATGGGATTGTACAAGTTTGATGCTTTCTCTTGTTTGCCGAAAATCTCAAGTATTTTCCATGTTCTTGTTGGCTGTTTTTGTCACGAAGAGTTTCTGAATTGCTCCTATTTTTTTTTAGTCAAGGAACCCGCAGCTGTTATCCGACAGTGTGCAATTAGTAAATTCTGTCCCGTGCAACAGTTCGCCAACCGCATAAAGGGATAAGACGCACTAGACAAATTCTGTGCAACGGATAGATATTCCGGACGAGATTCGAACCGAATTGACAGGATGACATACACCAACTCAAGGGACTCTAAATTGCTGTTGCTCATTGCAATTTGGGATTATAGCTGCTTTAATTGTGCTACTGAAGACACTGTGGAGTTGGTTTTGGACATTCTACGATATACCTGTCATAATCCTTGCAGCTTTAGTCATTGACCTGGTTGATCTTTTCCCTGATATACATATCATAATCGTAGCAGCTTAGGATTTAGCTAGGGAAGTGGTTTGCTTTTGCTTTGCACTGTCGGAACTTTTTGTCGAGAATAATAAGGCCATCAAATGTTCACCACCTAATCTTGGCCATCTAGGTGAGGTCCAACAATTCAGATACTTTTTTTTCCTTTGTTGATATTCATGGATACAAAATGTTTTCAAGCAAAACGTTGGCAAGAATTCCAAGGAAGGATGCAGTAGCAGAGTATTTGCTAATTGTGTTATGAATAACTCTACTCAATAGCCAACTAGTGTTTTACATCAGATTGAAAGCATTAAGCATCCTTTACCAAAGGACTGGGCCATGAAAGGAAATAGCAACGTCCACCTAATAATAACTTGAGCTGCTCATAAAGAGTAAAACACAAGAAAACCATGATAGCAGTACATCATTACCAATGATTACGTTCCACTGTACGAGAATAACAATCAATCATGCCTACCAGACATGACTCAGAAAAATCTGATCGGACAAAATTGAACATGTAGTCTCAATTGGCAATCTTTTCTAAAACAATCTACTATCTAATACTACATGCAATGGAAACTAATCTATCCTCGAAACTCGAGTACCATTAAAGCTTAAAGTACGAATCGACCATAACCATGTGTCAATAAATACAGATCATTGCACATAAAGCCTATTTAACATTTTGTTTCTCCGGTTCTCCCCACAGCTGCATAGCAGCAAGCCAAGGTGCTTCCATCCACTGGGAAGTCTCAAAGACTATATATTAACTGGACGGCCGCCTTTTGAAACAAGGGTTATAGTAGTGTGATTAGATAAGCCTTCGGGCTCGTTCTTGGGCAGACATGGTCATTCTTATGGTATGCTCCACATTCTTTGCAAACTTTGGTTTTTCTGATGTAATGGAGTCGTGTCATGCCTTACTGTAATACTCAAGGAAGCAATGTAGGATGCTGCACTCGCACACATGCACACACAAACACGCTACGATAAAAATGAAAACACACTTGGAAAATTCAGAAAGCTGAGGATAAATTGACTGCTAAGTGAATCAAGCACCTTTCCTGACTCTTTGCCAGCAGTTGCTTTTACGTCTTCACAATCTCTTCCATATGCTCTACCGGTGCTGCAGATCTTTGTCCTTCTTGGGTTTTCGAATTTCTATACAAGGTAAATCAAAGTAAATGCAGGTATCTGTATGAGCAGCTATCCTTCCCTACCTGTGTCTGGTTAAATTCGCTATTGAAAACACAGAGGATTGTTATACTGACAAGAAATAGGAGCCTTCTTTCACTCTTATATTGCTATTTCTTCAGTGGCACCTGAACTCATGCAGTGACGATCTCCTCTGGAGAGATCAAATGCAAGACAATGGAATCACAACCAAGTACTTGAACTTCTGCGCTTCAGTATAGCGTCACACGAGTCCCATTTCCAAATATCTCAATTTCTCAGAAAACCTAGCATAAACCATGGCAAGTTTAAGGAAAGCCTTGAGCACAAAGAGTTGCAATTTAAGGAAATAGATCTCAACGAGAAAAACAAGGACGCTTTATAGTGCTCAGAAATCAAGAAGACATCAAGTAGTTGTAAGTAGATGCTATGTTTCTTCTAAATCAATGTTGCTGAATGTAGGGGATCTGGTAGATTACAGTTCCAAAGGGGCAGAAGTTTAATAAAATGCACTTCTTGATGAGTACAAAATCCTTGTTTCTGCATGAAAATCTCAAAGATTCGAATGTTCACATGTACTGATACCGGAGGATAACCAGATTCTAAACTTTGTGACTAGTTAAGAAGAACTTCTCAATGTCAATGGCGACTAAAAATTCTCCTGCAGTTAAACAAAGAGCCATTACTTCGCAATATCACAATTCTGCTAAAAAAAGAAAAGAATCCCTTGCCTGCACAGTTTCTGATGAACCTCCAGTCCAGTTACATCTGTATTGATATCATTCCAATTTATTGTCCCCTCAAAAGTCATTGATGGCAAAAAGTGTCATCCGTTGCTGAGCGGAATTTATATGAGGATGCTACGAGAGAGCACCTCTTTTATCTTGCCAAAAGTGCATGATTGGAAGCATCTGCAGGGTTGTTTCTTGCAAGGGTACATCCTAGCACTCATCTTAACGTTATAACATCCAAGTCTATGATATTACTCACTGAACTTGAAAGACAACAATAAAAGGAACACAGTTTTATCTTTCTCATGTTTTGGAGACTGCATACAAAGTATCAAATAGATATACATGAAGATAATGCACCCACCTACATGAACTAATTAAAGAACTTAAGAGCACTAAACAATAATCAGACAGAGTGATTAATCAGCAGGCTATCTTTAGCAAAAATCAGTAAAACATCTCAATCCTTACAAGATTACAAGATTTGAAAGATTATAATGTTTACAAGAGATGCCACGAAGCACTAATCATTTACTTTTGGATAGACAAACTGTTTTTGATCAGCTGCAGTTTGACTTAGAGACTTCAAATGTGGTCAGGTGGAAAGATGGCAAAGATCTGGTCTCGAGTCTTTCTGTCAAATTGTCATCTAGAATAATCAGACTGGGAAATATCCTTAGCCCATGCACCCTTTAATAGCAAGTTAAACTCATCAACTTCATCTACATAAGGGAAAATGAATTTCTTTAAGAAATAAGAGTTGGAAGTCTTATATAATGTTGACAGACTAGGCCATTGCTTAAGTAAATTCCTAGTTTCCAAAATCTGTAAAGCATTCAGCCGGGGCTTGAGCCTCTTTTCAATACTGCAAGTAAGCACTTCAGGCTGGTCAAATATATCTTCCAAATTATACGCCCCAGAATCAAGAAAAAAATTAACTGTCTCCTTAATTTTCCTGCAGGAAACAGAAAATGCCTGTGGCCTTCGCTGGAACATTGATAGAACTTCGTCTTCCGAAAATCCCAAATCTCGGAAAGCATCCCATTTAAGTTTCCAGGTTAGAGGACTCATTGAGGCCACACTCCGAAGGGCATGCAGAAGCATCTTGGATTTCGCATCACATCCCAACTTCTCGAGTTTTTCAACAAATTTCTTCATTCTTTGTGGCCTCTGTGTTAAAAACCTAGGAAAGATATATATATTTCTGATAATTCTAGGTTTGCTAATCCCGCAACTCTCCAAAATTTGAATATTTGGAACCATGGTCTTCTCCAAATCACATTTCAAATATACCCCGAAACCAGCATTCCTTAACACCTTAGCAACTTCTGAAGTAGAGCCCAGAAGATTCCTCAAAACCATAACCGAAGGAGCAATTGCATTATTAGCACTACGCCCTAAAATCCAAGGGTCCACTGAGATAATATCAGCAATATCAGGGGTTAAAAAGCCTAAATCCTGGAGAATCTTGATCTTGGGCTTGATAGACTTGTCAAGATTAAGAGATATCACTTGAGGGTCTTTTTTCACAAGTGTTTCCAAGTGGGCTCTTGAAAAGCCACTATCTTTTAAGAATGATAACACCGAATCCCACTTTTGTATATAGCCATATTTTTGTGGGATTTTCAGCTGAGCTAATTTATAGGCCACAGTAGTAGCAGCTTCAGATGAAAAATCATGTTTTCTCAGCAGGGCAATGATTTTTGGGTTAAGAATTCTTGAGGTTTTTTCTTTGAAGGATGAAAAGAAGAGGACAGATAAAGAGAAAGCCCCATGGCCATAGGGTTTATGGATGAGATGTGCAGGGTTTTTGAGAGAATGAAAGATTAAGCTTTTACATAAATGAATTGTCATTTTACTGATAAATTCATTGACAAAGGTAACAAAAATCCAGAAGGAAAACAAGTAAAAGAAAGAACGTGAGTTGGCAGAGAAATAAAATACCAGGATCTCGAATGCCTTTCAGATTGGTAGCTTCCTTTGCTCGAGAAACTGCACCAACTTGAGATTCAGTAACATATTTTCAGGATTTAGGGTTCACTTCAGGGTTGAGGGAAATGGGCTTTGCTAGGGTTTTTGGGATTGGTTCTGGAGAGAGAGAACGGCTAATTGAATTGGCCGGCTTTTTTATTTTATTTTATTTTACTTGGCTCTGTTTCGATCCTCTGTTTTTAGAAGTATATTTCAAAAATTGTAACCGTGTATATGAAAAACACTGTAAATATTTTTTGGATTGTTTTTAGAAGTATTTTTAAAATATATTTTTAAGTTTTTATTATAATTTACAATTTTTTTAAAATTTTTTAAAATTTTACACCACCCACCCACCTCCCTCTCTCCTTTATCTTCCTCTCTTCCTCCTCTCTATTTCCTCTCCCTTCTCCCCTCTCCCTTCCTTCCTCCCAACTCCAAACTCCTTTCTCACTTGCATGTGGTGGCTGAAGTCGCAGCCACCACTCTAACCGTGACCATTTTGGTCGCGACTTCTGGGAGGGGAAAGGGAAAGGAAAAGGAAAAAAAAGAAAAAGGAAAAGGAGAAAGGGAAGAAAGATGGGTGGAGAGAGAGGAGAGAGGAGGAAGGGTCATGGGTGTGGGTGTGGGTGTGGGTGTGGGTGTGGTAAGGTGGTGGCCGTGATGGTGAAGAGTGCTGGGTGGTAGTGCATATTTTTTTTTTTTGTATATTTGGAGTTGTTTTTGATATATTGTATGGATATGGTGTTTTTGGAGTTATTTTTGTTTGTATATTACTATAATATTGTATATAAAAAACTTGTTTTTCAAAAATTGAGAAATCAAAAAACTTGTTTTTTTTTTTTAATTTGCTTATAGGGTTGGGGTTTAGGAGTTAACTAACTTCATGAAAATTTTGAGTTGCTAAACTTGTGATTGGTGTACTTGGCAAATCTTCATTTCAGTCCCCCCCATGCTTTAAAAATTAAATGGAGTAATTTGATTTGTTAGGTTATTCACTAATCTTTATTTTTTTTTCTCCTAACAGAGGAAGAGATGGAATTTATGATGAAGAAAAGGAATTGAGAGAGTAGAAATTCATTTTAAGATTTTAATTTTAGCCACTGAACCAAAACTTTCTCAACTTACTAATGTTTACTTTTTTTTTTTCCAAAACCGACAACATTCTATTAATAAACGAAATCTTTACACAAAGGATGGGCAACTGCCCTCAATATCTGCTTGCGCCAGCGCAGGCAGCCAATATGGGAAGACATCCTTCCATTCAGTCTGTACTTTCAAGCTAATTGCCAATTTGGCAAGTTTATGACTAACAGAGTTGTCTACTCTTCGAGTAAAAGTAAAACAACATTCATAAAATTTTGTTCTAAGTTCCCTAATATCATCTAACACCACTGATCCTATCTCAGTCGTCTGCTCCTTGTTGATTTCTTCCACCAACTGTAAGCAATCCGATTCAAATATCACCTTCGTCCATCCTTGCTGTTTTGCCAGTAGCATAGCTGCTCGTAAAGCCATCGACTCTTCCAGTTTTGGAGATGAGCAGCTAAGGTTTGGTATTGCCCAAGCTTTCAGAACGTTCCCTTGCCAGTCCCTTGCAACCATTCCCCACCCTGCCAAACCTTCCTTCTGCTATAATGCAGCATCTGTATTCATCTTGACCCAACCCTCCTGAGGTAGCCTCCACCCCTTCAATACCTCAGCTTCCTGCCTACTACCTCCCTGGACTTCCACTTCCCCTTCTTGAACATCCTGAAATTCCTGCCATTCCCCTACTGTCTTACTTACAGCTACTACCGGATTTCTTTCCTGACCATTAAACTGCTTCTCATTCCTTGATTTCCAGATTTGCCACAGCAAGTTAACCGCCAGTATAATCCGTTCTCTTCCCCTCTCCTGGCTCACAGCGCCCTCTAGTTCTTCCCACCACAACCAAAATCTACTCCTATGTTCCTCCAATCCTTCCTAGCTCACCGGGGCTACTTTCCATATATTCGTAGCATTCCTACGGAAAATCAACATATGCTCTATGGTTTCTACACTCTCCCCACATCCTCTGCACATATGATCACCTTTCAGGCACCTATCCTTAACTACTGCATTCACGGGCAAAATACCTTGCAGACATTTCCAGACAAAATGCTTGAGCTTGTATTTCATATTCAGCCCCTAGAGAAATTTCCAAATCTGTGTTGCCCTTTTTTTCCTGCAACTAGTTCCTGTCTCTTGCTCTCCTTGCTTCCCCCTCCTTTCATTGCTTTTAGCCAAACTGTATCCAGACTTGACTGTATAAGCCCCAGTAGTTGAGAAAGCCCAATACAACCTGCCTTTCCTAGGCTCCAAGCTGAGTGGGATTCCCATAATTTTCCTTCCTTCATCCTGATCAAAAATCTGCTTGATCAAATCTCTGTCCCATTCCCCATCTTTAATCAGCTCATACACTCTCTGCACCTTAACCCCCTCCCCCGTTCTAGTTTTTACCCTCCCATCCTCAGTATCTGGAAGCCATCTATCCCTCCAAATGTATATAGATTTACCATCACCTACCTGCTTTCTTAGCCCCTCTTCTAATAGATTTCTAGCCTGCATCAAACTCTTCCAACACCATGAATCTGCCCCTGCATACTTTGTCCTCCAGATGGAGCATCCTTTAAAATATCTGGCCCTCATAATCTTGCTCATCAATAAGTTTGGCTTTGTCAAAATTCTCCACAGTTGCCTTGCCAACAAGGCCAAGTTAAATTCATGCAACTCCCTAAAGCCCAGCCCCCTACTGCTTTAATCTCAGTTAGCTTCCCCCAACTCAACCAATGAATCCTGTTCTCATCTCCCTTCTGTCCCCACCAATACCTTGCCATCTCAGAACATATTTCCTTGCACAAAGCCTTTGGTAACAAGCAGGCAGACATCACATAGGTGGGCAGTGCCATGATCACAGCCTTCAATAGAACTTCTTTCCCAGCTGGACTTAACAGTTGCTCCTTCCATCCCTTCAGCCTAGCTATTGTTTTTTGCCTTATAAAGTCTAAAACTTGTCTCTTAGACCTCCCAATGACCAAAGGCAGTCCAAGATATTTGCTTTGTACCACCCTCCTCATTCCCTGCAGTTCCCTCATCACCCCATTTATCTGCCTATGGCTCACGTTCCCACTGAACATCAATGATGACTTCTCCATATTGATCAGTTGACCAGAAGCTTCCTTGTATACCTCCAAAATTCTCCTCAGCTTGCATGCCTCCTCTCCATTTGCCTTGCTAAGAATGAGTGAATCATCTGCAAAAAAAAGGTGAGATAACCTGGGAGCCCCTCTAGCCACCCTTATTCCTGTCAGCAGTCCTTGTGAGTTAGCTTGTCTAAACAAAGAAGACAGTCCCTCAGCACATATCAAAAACAAGAAAGGAGACAAGGGATCCCCTTGTCTCAAACCCCTGGTAGGCTTAATAAAACCTACTTTTTTCCCATTAATATTCACAGAATACGTGACACTAGTTACACACTCCATGATCCATTGAATTCACTGAGGACAGAAGCCCATTTTCTGCATCATCTTAGCCAAAAATATCCATTCTATTCTATCATAAGCCTTGGACATGTCTAATTTGATAGTCATAAAGCCCTCCCTCCCTGTTTTCTTATTTTTTTTTAAAAATGGACACATTCATGAGCAATCAAGACATTGTCTAGAATCTGTCTGTCAGGAACAAAGGCAGACTGGGACTCACTAATGCAGACATTCAGTACACTCTTGAACCTGCTAGTCAACACCTTAGATATGATCTTATAGAGGACATTACACAAACTGATAGGTCTATACTCAGTAATAGAAATGGGAGACTCAGTTTTTGGAATGAGGCTTATAAGAGTCTCATTAATGGACTTTAGAAGGTAACCAGAATGGAAAAAACTTTGAACAGCATTCACTATATCAGATTTTACAGTTTGCCAGAATTTTTGGAAAAAGTAAGGAGGCATACCATCTGGCCCTGGGGACTTGTTTGGTTGCATAGAGAAGACAGCCTGTCTGATTTCTTGCTCTGTAATCGGCCTGGTCAACCTCCTGTTCATATCTGAGGTGATTGTCTGTGGCACACCCTGTAGAATTTCTACAAAATCCACTGGATTTTCTGTGGTGAAAATTTCCTGAAAGTAATCTATAATCTCCTTACTCGACTCTTCCACATTCTCACACCATTCCTCACTCCTTTTCTGCAACACACTAATTCTATTCTGCTTTCTTCTACCAGCAACAATTGCATGAAAGAAACTAGTGTTCCTATCCCCTTCCTTTAACCATTTTACCCTTGCCTTCTGACTCCAGTATAACTCTTCCTTTTTATAAGCATCAGTCAGCCTCCTTTTAAGCCCAACTAGCTTGATCCTGTAACCGCTAGGCATGATTTCCTTCACCTCTTTTATCTCCCTCTTAATCTGCTCAATCAGTTTCTTTGAGTTCCGACGACTCCCTTTACTCCAGTTTAGCATATCCATCCTCACTCTCTTAATCTTACATTTAACCTTATACAATCTGGATCCCTGTTGTTCCTCACCCCAGGCTTTCCCAACAACCTCCCTTATATCCTCCTGCAATAGCCACCTCCTGTCAAACATAAACCTTCGTTTCCATTTCCTCTCCCCAGGCCTTATATCCAGGAGCAGCATACAATGGTCAGAAGCCTCAGTTTCTATATGCAAGCATTTCGCCTTGTCAAATTTCCCAACCCAGCCTCTAGTGCCCATAATTCTGTCTAATCTTTCTTTCATCTCTCCCCCATTTCCCCAGTTGTTACACCAGGTCCAAGGAACTCCTTCAAACCCAATGTCTACTAGCTCATTCTTATTTATGAAAGAAGTGAAATCCTGGAACCTTATCTCAGCTCTCTTAATACCTCCCCACTTCTCATCATTCGATGTAATGTCATTGAAGTCCCCTATTACAGCCCAATACTCTCCCCACAAAACACTTTTTCTAGTCACTACCTCCCATTGTTCTCTCCTAATCCCTACATCGGTGCTGGCATAAACACAAATACACCACCAATTGACTCTAGTTTCCTCATCCTCTATTAGCAACTCTATAGTAAAACTAGTAAACAGCACCTTTTTCACCCTTAATTCCTGTTTCCACAGCACCGCCAACCCCCCTGCCTTACCCACAGGATCAACTACAAAGACCTTGTCAAATTTTGTCCACTACATCACTTTATTCAAATAAGTTTTTTTCTTCTTTGTTTCTGACAAAAACACTAGAGAAGGAGAGTGGAGTCTAACGACCTCCCTTAGTTGGGGAACTGTTAAGGGGCTCTCCATACCTCGACAGTTCCATACCACAGCCTTCATTTAAACCTTGGAGTCCCATTTAGGGAGGACTCCAATCCCTCAGAAAGATCCATCCATTCACAGGCCCCACTCTTAACTCTAAACCTCTTACTATTTTCCTTCCCAGTTTGACTCATTACCTCTTCCATCTCCCCCCTCCACCTTTCTCTTCCCCTTCACACCCTCATTGAAATCAGCCCCAATCTCACTCAAAGGTTTCCTCCTACTAACCTCCAGCACCAACCTTCTCCAGCTCTTGCCACCCCTATACTTCCCAATACTCTTACTCTTCTGCCTACCCTTACTCCCCACACCTTCCTCTTCCCCCGATACTGTCTCCCCATCCCTTCCTTCTTTACTAACTACACTAGTCTTTTTCTCACTCCCTACCTTGTCTATACCATCTATCCACATCAAATCATCCAAAGCCTCCCTTGCAGCCCTTAAGCCTATCTCCCCCTACAGAATCACTTGACTCCCCCCTCTCTCACCCACTTGGCCAATCCCCAACTCCCTATTCCTTACCTCCTCCATCCCTCCCTTACCCTGTCTCCTCTCCCTTATCTCTTCTGCACCCACTTCAACTCCCCTCTTTACCACTACCCTTTTCTCCTCCTCCCTACTCTTATTACTGTCCCCCAGCAACTTCCCCAGAGTAGACTGTTTTGGGTCCACCTGCTTATGAAACTCTTCAGTATATGTTAAGAGCAATTTATGCCCCTCACTCCCTCCACCCTTATGATCTTGAAAATGGCTCTTCCCATCATCCCTATTCCCGGACTCATCTCCACTCCTATTCTTTCGAGTAGGACTTCTAGGATAGCTTGCTCTTAGCCAATTCCCAAACTGTGGTTCCCCTCCCAAGTTCATTCCCCTCTTATTACAATTCCTTTCACTATGACCAATCAACCCACAACCAAAACAGAAATCTGGACATTTTTCGTATTTAAATTCTATCCATCTCTTCCCACCATTACTGTTAACCATTGTTCCCCTAGGGAGTGGAATAGACAAATCCATCTCCACCAAAATTTTCATATGCTTGCCATCCCTCCTTCCATTCTGCGGTATAATCACCTCTTCCACACGTGAGAATATACTCCCTATCTTCCTACCAACCTCCTTCGTCACCCAATGCAAAGGTAAGTTCCAGATCTGAACCCAAATAAGAGTCCTACTCAGAGCTTTCTCATCCTCCTCTAGACCAGCCTCCCATCGCAACAATATTAAAGGTTGGCCATCATAAATCCATGGCCTCCTGCTTAGCACCATCTCTATCTCCTTCTCCTTCTCGAAAATGAATTGGAACAGGTTTCGGCCAATCTCAACTACCTTTGGATGCTTCACCTGAGGCCACATATTGTTAGCAAAACTCTTAATCCCCCCAATATTAGCCAATTTCTCTCCCCACACCTTACCAATCAAACTCTGTTTACACTCCAGAAAACCTTTAGCCACCTCCTCCTCATCCAATCGAACTCCTTCCCTCTCTTCCTCAGATAGTTTAAACTTCCTTAAAACCTCTTTAATACTCTCCATAGCTCCTCCCACAGACTCCACCCAGTAAAAACCAGGAGGCTTCCCGACCAGTTCTAACCGAAACCAGACAGAGTCCTGCTCCAAGCCCCCAACCAAAATCCAGAAATCAACAAGTCCTACCACAAGACAGAAAGAGTAAAAAAGCACAAAAAGAAACAAACGAAGCAAACAAAGGCAAGACTCAGGCGAAAAGAAACATGCAAGACAGGATCGCTATCCCATATTGCTAAGAAAGAAACAAACAAACAGAAACACAAAGATATAAAAGGCTTTAGACGCTTAGAGAATCCAACGCCTAATCAAGAGCCAATGGATGAATCTGGTAAGTTTCCTTTCATGGATGAATCTGGTAAGTTTCCTTTCATGGATGAATCTGGTAAGTTTCCATTAATGGTAGGTCGCTGCTTGGCACCAACGCTAGTGGATCCGATTTTGAATTTCGTGAAGAAAGTTCTGAAAAGTGTGAGCACCCACAAAAGGGGGATTTCCTCTCTCTAGAACGAGAGAAAAAAACTCTCATAGAGAGAGACAGTATCTCAAGTTACCTACTCACTAATGTTTACTTGTTTGATATAAAAATCCATTTTTTTATTACTTTGATTAAACAAAATGCCATGCCTATGCTAGATTGACTAACTGCGATTCTTTCTAAGGTTTGATGATTAAGTATTCTTCTTTTTTATAAATTTCCGTTACTCCTTTTAATCGAGATGTTTGTTAGATTGAGTTTTTTGTTTCATAATAATGAAAAAAGAGATTATGTTCTAAAGGAGTATGGTATGAAATTTAATTGATCAAATTGTTTTCTTTTCAGGAAAAAAGATGGTTTCCTTTGATTATTAATTATTAAAGGAACTTGCCCAATAACTCACATGAGTTACGGAATCTAAAATGGATCATGACCTCACAAATCGATTGATGTAATTCTTATGACATTTATTATGAATTTATATAATTTAAGTGTAAATTTGAAACTATCAATTCATACAATTACGTTGATAATTATATATAAATTGTATGAATTTACATTAAATATAGTAAGAATTATATAAAAGCATTTGAATAAGCCATAACTCAATTTGTGAGAGGCCCTGATCCAGCTAAGATATTAGCTCAGAATTACTTTCTTTTGCAGCAATTTCTTAAACTAAAACATCAATGTGCTGCGGGCTGGGCTGAGTAAGAAAGCTGAAGCCTAGTTTCTTTCTTGTGTGAACACAAAGCCAGATCGACGGAGGAAGCCCAATTTCCTCTTCAGCTTCTTATTTTGGTCATTTCATTTAACAAATCTGCACTAATGACAGCGTTTCTTCTTCAACTATGACGTACAAATTAAACAGGATTTGGAATATCTACAGTACCAGGTGCATTTGCAGAATTTTCCTTTTCGTTTTGAAAAAAAAAACTTATTATTCAAAAGAAAAAGAAAATGGAAAATGTGAACAGCCAACCATACAGATATCAAATGCGAGGGCTAGGTCAAGCAAGAAAGATTAAGCCTTGTTCATTTAAATAAGCCCAGAAGTGAATCTTGCTTCTTTCTTCAAACTTGTCTTGTGTCCACAATTTGAGTAGGGCTCGAAACCATAAAGGCAAATTGGCAATAATAAATGGGTAATTTCTTATATATATATATATATATATATATATATGTATATACATTGTCAATATATGATTTTTTTGTCACACTAACAAATTTAGAGCGTACCACATAATATGAATTTAAATTTGAAATTTAAATTATGTACATATAGCATATATCCATAGCTCATAGTGTTAAAAAATCACTACAATATCAGTGTGTAGAATATTATTCTATAATAAATTTCTGCTCTTTTTATTTTTATTTTTATTATTTTGGTAAGAATAAATAAACTTCTACTCAATAGTCAAACCTCAAGCACGTCGAATTTACTGTAGTACTTTGCATGAAACAGATGTCCCTTCTTCTTTGGAAGTCACGTCTCACAAGGGCAGATGTCATGAGCGCCAAATTTCGATTCAGAGGCTCCATCTTGTGCCTTTTCTTCTTATTGGCACATTTCCCTTGTCAAGTTTTTTTTTTTCCCTCTTCTAATCATTCTAAGTCATTAAGACTTGAGAGGTTACAAATGTGTCATCAAAATGCAAAGAAAGGGCTACAAATTTAGGGATTCAAGTATTTCAAGATGAAACGAAATACAAAATATTAGGGAAGTATTAATTTAATCCGACCAAAACAAGATCCCCAACACAAAAGTGACCGGTCCAATACCATTAACACAAGAATAACATTATGATCCCTTGATTGTAAAGCCCAAAATGTACCCCACTAGCTTGGTAAATCCATGTTCTTTGTCATTCTCTTTTATTTTTTGAAAGGAAAATCCTATACTAAGTTAAATGATAGAAACAAATTAATGGATAATTCATCTCTTTGATTTTCGGGATTTTCATATTTGTTTCTATGGTTTAGTAATATCATGATTGATTTACGGTTGCTTTTTATAGGTGAAATCTTTCTGAAAAAAGTGTTCCATTGCCTAAAGGCTCAAAGTTTGGAAGTTGTAGTTCAATCTCTTTTAATTGAAGCTAATTTGATGGAGCTAGTTATTTCTCTACCTAATATCTTGTGGATCCTTTAGATTTCAATACGCAGATAACAGGAGCATATCACGAAGATTTGTTGTAATCGATCATTCATTCGTGGGTTCAAAACAAGACAACCAAGTTTGATTTAAATGTATTGCTGTAACAGGAATGAAGAAACAAGCCCTGCTCCATGTCCAAAATATCTTTACAAGTTAACAAGCCAACTGGCTTCATGAAATCTGACAAAATTCAAGATGTAATTTATTTGTTCTTCCATGCAAAATCAATGCCACAATTTCCTCAAACATCAACTCTTTTGATTCCAGCTTAAACTTATATACTTTGTCTTAATTCTGCAGGCATCAGAAAATCATTGATGGGCAATGTCAAGAACAAGTGAACAACCCAACCCACCCCCCCCCCCCCCCCCCCGGGCGGTGTTAGTGGGACTTATTATATTTGTCCAGAGAAATGGCTACAATTGCATGGGGAGATTATAAACTTTTTTTGGACTGCCGGTGCATGGAACAACTCTACTCGCATTACCAGCAACAATTCCACTCATGGCAGTCTGCCCAAAAATGGCAAGTCATTCATCTCTTTTCCTTTCAACTTGACCTCAAAAAACCACCATTAGTTGGCTTATATACTCACCACGTCAACCGGAGAACTTAGGTTAATGCTGGAAATTTACAGGGCTTTCTTTTTTTTTTTTTTTTTTGACACAGTTTTTCTTTCTGTGGATCTATGGAGGAGCTGCTCATTCTAAACTGCTCTGGACCACATATGCAATGATTAGGTAGATTAAACTAGAGCAATTTATACGCTTGACCGTGAGAAAATCCCGGTCGTAGGAAACCTAGCGTACACGGAACAACGGAGGACTATTATTTGAAAGAAGATTTTGGGTTCTGTAATCCGTAGTTACGGCATAAATAACACCTTGCATCATTACTACACCAATAAAAAGATTAAAAAAAGAAGAAGAAATAGCATTGTAAATGGTGTAGGTATAAGAATCCAAAATGACTTGTCAAATATGCGTTGGCAGATGGGGGATCATACCTTTAATCCTTCTTTTTTGCCACTTTTTTTTTTTTATAATATATTGACACTTGGAACTAATTAGAAGTAATGTCAGTTAGGAGCCCCCGATTAAACTAAATTCAGTAGTCTAACAAGTGAGCTGATGTTATATTTTTAAGTGTATTTGACAATAATGATTCTGGCATGAAGTTGGGAGCTTTTAGTTTGCTTTACCTGCAGGCTTAAAACTACAGAACCTTGTTATCTCCTAGCCAACTAACTGCATTACTGGATCAAATTATTCCATCACCAAAATCATATCATTCTGATGGAATATCATGATCCCTATATATAGGCTTGGTATGATGATGAAGGGGGGATCTAATAGTCATCTGTGTATATAGCAGACTGAAGCTACAAGGTTAAAACAATACATCACATGGTTTTTTCATGGTTTAGAGAACACGTTTTTAAGTCCATCATCAGAAATTTCACACAACTCAACTCGTTAGTTAGGTCACCAGACCTTGTGGATCTTCTCAAGATGTATTTTCCCTCAGATAATACTAAGTACCACATAAGTGGTTACATTACAATATGCTATTATGCTGCATTATTTTTCCCAGTCCTTTCCTGATAGGAAGGAATCTTGAGGGAACTAACTTTACATCATCTATCCACCTCCCACATTGCCAAATAGGAGTGCTACCTCAAAGCACAGGCCTCTCAATTTCTGAGTTCCAACCATTTTCTTCCAACCCTACATGTCCATGGGCATGCACCTTAGCAAAAGTTTATAGTGACCTATTTTATTGTACATTGCATTTGATCTCAGGCTTTCCTGCTCCGTTGGCCCCCGTGCTTTTAATGCCTACCCCTCTTTATAAAGCTCAGCACCAAAAGTCAGCAACCTCTTTAAAGTTGAGAAGTTTCAGGGTCCTGAAAAAGATTCTTTACTTACTTATGTTCTTATTTTTTTAGGAGGGGAGGGGTTGCGTTGTCTCTGTCATTTCTGGACAGGGATATACCAGCAGCAGATTAGAAAGCCAGAGGTAAAATAGATAATGCTAAACGGCAGAAAGAAGCAATTGCAACAGTTTCTGTTGTGTTGGATTGAACTTCAGTGTTTGGTGATTGGGGAGGAAAATTAGACATTTTGCCCCCTCTAACCAAGGAAAATGGGTGCCATATGTATCCACTTTTTGTATTCAACCTAATCAAACATCTGAACTGGTTTCCTATGTGTCACATTGCCTCAGGCAACAAACTAGCGTCCAACTCTTCATTCACTGACAATGTGTAAGGCTATTTTCCAACCTGAGAATTGCAACCTCAAATTCTTTAAAGTAACTAACATGATATAATATGGGCAACTGCAGAAGGTATAGGTAACGTGATGTGAAATTCTTTTGTGGCTGGGATTGGAAGCCTTTTAGAACATGGACAGTGCCTGAAGACCTTGAATCACTGTTTCGAAAGACACTAAACGGCGTCAAGGCATCCATTTGAAGGCATTAATGGGAGGAAATTGCCTGAAAAAATAGTTGCCAACCCTTTGTCCAAGCCACAAGGCGGGACCTGCCCTTTTTTCCCTATCTCAAAATTTAAAGTGACAAAAAACTTCGTGGAAGGACCAAACCCAAAAGTTGAGAAGTCTAATCCTAAAGCAAGATGCAGTTATGGGTTGGGGGCCATCCCTTCATTATGGCATGGTCATCACTTTAGTAATTCCACATTTTGTTACCATCTAGCTAAACTTTTGGCACCCTTTTCTCTGCTCTGCCAGAGTATTTGTGGAGAATCCGGACTATATTGTAGTTATATGCCTTCTCTTTTAGCGCATACTTCTAACGCGTTAACAAATGCAGTAAGAGGTGTGCAGGCACTGATTTGCTACACAAATATAATTAAGATTGAATGAGATTCGATGATTATCTTCTGCTGAAGAAGTCCCTCCTAGGATTTGAGCTCACCAAAGCCATTTTATAATCTAAAGGTTAATGTGGTAAAGAAATAAAGAGTTGTTTGGTAGTTGGCTAGTTGGAACAATTTGTGCGAAATCAGGACTAGGAAAGCACTATCGCTAGCATGACCCTTAACTGGCATGGGCTCACAAAGTTGAGAGCTAGGCATGATTGGATCATGAAACAAGGCTCGTGGGGCATCAACTTTTCATTTTTCTCTTGCTTTATTTAATTTGGTTTGTCAAAAAAGCAAAGGCTAAAGAAGAAGTTCGGTGTTAGACTGGTGACCCTATTTTAAATAAAGAGAGCAAAAAGGAGAGGGATTGCAACAAAATCAACATTAAAGATGGTAAAGAAGGACACACAATTCATGAACAAAAAGTTATAAAAGGAAAGCTGTCAGTGCTTTGCCTCTCTCACATTTATTTTAAATCTCATCAAACCAAAGCACTACTCAAAGCCCCAAGCATCAAATTTCGCATATACAGTTCATCAACCACAAGATCTAAAGCATAGTAACTAGCAATAAGAAGAGCAAATAGAGGAGCAAGAGGAAGAAGAAAACAAAATGAAAAGCAGAGAAGGCAAAGGGCCTCCCTCCACAGATCTATTAGTATGTTTCCCATCCAGAGCCCATCTGACACTAATGCCAAAGCCAATTTGTAGTCCAGCTAGGCCTTCAGAACCAAGCAAACGCCAGCACAACCAGCACCAGCACCACCACCCGCACAGCCACCATCATCACAACCACCGCCACCACCTAATAAAGAAATCTAGCACAAGAAATGGAGTTGCAGGCCAAGCAAGCCCAATCCTGTGGGCCAAAAACAAGCCAATGAGCAAGGAGATTGATGAACCAACATCACCAAAAGTCACTTGTGCTGGCCAAATCAAAATAAAGCCTAAAGCCAGCTCATGCAAGAATTGGCAATCTGTCATGGAAGAGATTGAGAGGCTACACAAAAAATCAAAACACAAGAAGAGACCAGGTTGGGTTGAAGCACTAGGATTCAAGAAGGATGTCATGCAGTTCTTAACATGCTTAAGAAGCATTCGATTCGATTTTCGATGCTTCGGTGCATTTCCTTCGACTTCAATCACTTCTGATGATGAAGATGACGTTAATGAAGATGATGACGAATGCCACCAAGATCACCATCAAAATAACCATCTTGGCAAAGATGCAAGTGACGATCATGATAGTGAATCTTCAAGAACTGTTTTCTCCAAATGGTTCATGGTTCTTCAAGAAAACAACAGCACTAATAAGACTGAGTTGGTCAAGACAGACAATAAATTGATTAAAGAAGAAGCCACTGAAGCACCTTGTGCTCCTCCACCGAATGCATTATTGCTCATGCGCTGTCGATCTGCTCCCGCGAAAACCAGGCTAGAAGAAAAGGAAGAAGATAATGATGATAAAGAAGAGGAAAGGCATGATGATGACGATGATCATGATGATGAGAAGCAAACAAAGGAGCAAGAAGATGGTAAAAGGGCTGAGGTTCTAGCCATGGAAGAAGAGAATAAGAGGAAAGATAACTTAGTTGTGATGAGATGTGGCACTGCTGATTTCTACAAATTTTCTTCTGATATAGCAAAAGAAACTTGGGTTGTTGGTGGGATTAAAGATTCACTATCAAGAAGTCGAAGTTGGAAGAGGTGATACATGATTACTACGATCGAGGTCCCTGCATTTCCATATTCTTCTTGCTTCAAATTTTCTTGTTAATTTTGATAATTTTTTTTTGGGTTACGTGATATTTACCTCCTATGATTGATGTTATTTATATTCTGAAATTGCGTGGAAATCCTTGAAATTCAACTTTCTCTTTTTCTGCTTAGGAAGTTGAAGTTGTATGATGTGGTCTGATGTGCAAAGCAGATACTCTCAATCCATATGTATATAGCCATTTGAAGTTTAAAGTTCCCAGCTCAAATGCTACATCTGATAGAAAGTTGTTCTGCCAAACGCATCTTCTTATGAGCAAATCCATTACATAATTAATAGTTAACTGATCATGCCATTTCCTAGCTCTGCTCTTTTTTGTTCATTAATTTGTCTTTGATCTGCTAAATTTTCTGATTGATGATGAAAGTTAGCCCCGAAGATGAAAGCTAGTTTCTTTTGGCATGTTTTAAGGGGATCAGCACTGTGGATGTACCCAAGAAGAGTAGGAAAAGTGTAATTTAATCTATATTTTTGCGCTTTCGTGGCAATGAGCGAAAATAAATGGATGTTTCCAATATTATTGAAATTCAGAAATTCTTGGAAAATTTTCGTGAATTTTGTGAATGTTGAAGGAAAAAAAAGGAAAAAGGTCACTACAACCGAGGATGATCTAGAAGGCCCTTGGAAAATTCAGGCCTTCATGGTTACTGATCGGAAATTCGGGATCTAAACTCTAAAGAAGCCGCTGCACATGAAGAGCATCTTTCTTTTTCAAGGTGCAAAAGTTCTTCCTTAATTTCCAGTTAATTGCTTGGAGCATCATGCAAATGCAAAGAAATTATTGAAAAAAAGGAAGAAAGAAAGAAAGAAAGAAACATGGAAATCCAATTAGTAATAAGCTTC